GACAGCCATGGCGAGTGCCCACCGCCGTGGCGAGCCCCCCCCCCCCAGGGGCCAGTCGCCGCGCAAAACCTGGCCGTAGCCCTGCGCTCGGTGCGTCCTGGCGCCGGGAGCGCCTGCGGCTGGGGGCAGTGGGAGCAGGCACGACTGGGCGGAAGGGACACGCACTGGTGTTCGTTTGAAAATCGGAGGTCGCACTAGGCTGCGAGTGACAGCCAGGGCCACGCATGTTTGTTACCAGTTGACGAAACCCCAAAAGGCTGTTCCCGCCCTGCAGGGCGCTAAGCTCGCGGGGGCTTTCTGAATATCCCGGCTTCCTGACCAACGTGCTACGAAGCAAGAGCAACACGAGCACACGGGGGTGGTAGAACTCACAGAAAACATCATAGGACTGACGCTAAGTAGGGATGCATGGGAGAATGCAGGGAGGCGACGCTTCACCTGAAACTTCAACGACAAGCAGGTCTGAGCTCCGTAAAGAAGGCTGAAGTGGAGAGGACGGAACAACCGCTGACAGAAGCAGCGAACGTGCAGGCGTCTCACGACAGGGACAGCTATGCATATTCCAGATCAAAGCTGCCGTGCATTGGGGTGCGACAAGCCAAAGAGACACAGAGCCAAACTGAACAGGGGAGCTGTGCACTGAAACTGACAAGGGCACGCTAGACATTCTCTCATCAATAAGATAAGCATTTCCTACTCTAGAGCAACAGTTATTACCAACGTCTTCCACGTTCTTATAGCAGTGTTATCCACTAGATGCTACCGGCTTTTTATTCCTTTCCCTCCACATTTTATCACATGAACTTTACAAGATACAGGTCAATCGAAATATTGATTGATCACCAATCACCAGTACTCTACAATTAGAATTAGGCTACTCTGGCTTGATGCACGCCCATCCTGTGTTTACGGATGCATTTCAAAGTGGAAGACATCAGGGCATCTGCACCAAACACTTTTGACATCCGCACTCAAACACTGTTTAAGGCGTGGCATTAGCTAGAGTGTGGGACCTGCTTACTGTTCTGTCTTATTTGAGAAAGTAAAATTTACAGATAGATGGTGAAAGGCACACATCTTAAGTGCCACATAGTGAGGCTTGACAAACGCATGCTCTAGGCACCTGTCCACAGTCAGAGCGCTCTCGCCACGCATCAGTTTCTCTGTACCCAGCCCAGAGTGTGCCTGCCCAGCAATACACTATTCTAGCTTTTTCCACAATACGTGACTTTTGCTTCTTTAAGACCTTTGTGTGAATGGGATCATACAGTAGTGCTATTTTTGTGTGTGGATTCTTTCATTCAATATCGTGATTTCTAAAATTTATGTCGTTGAATGTGTTATTTATTCCTCTCTTCTGTTACTCAGTTGCATCCCATGGCAGGCTACTGTCAAATTGGTTCTTCATTCACCATTAACCATTTGGGCTGTTTCCATTTTGGAATGTCATAAATAAATAAAACCACTCTGAATGCAGGTGTATGAATTTCTGTGCAGAGATACTCTCATTTTCCTCTGGAAAGTACCTAGAAGAAATCGTCAGAATACTTTCCAGGGTAGTTGTACAATTTAAGGCCCCACCACATACATGTGAGCGTTCTTTTTGTTTCTCATTGTTCTCAGCATTTGGGTTGTCAACCTTTGGTTTTAGCCATTTCAGTAGATCTACAGTGGCATCTCATTGTAATTTTATCTTTTCCCTGATGAGGACTCCCGTTGAGTATGATGTTTTCATGTGCTTACTGGCCATTTCTCTGGCCATTTCTCTTCTTTGGTAAAGTTTGTTCCGAGGTTGTCTTTTTATCAGGTACTTGTAGATGTTCTTTTGTAAAAATAGTTAATTTGCTGTGTCGGTTATATATGACAACCCCTGCACATTCAAGCTAGACGATCTGATAAAGCTTGACACATGTATAACAGGTGCGTATTGAGCCACGAGCCGCCACGCAATGAAGGCAACAAGCACATCTGTCCCCTTGTGTCCCATTCGCAGTCTCTCTCCCGTCCCTTTGTGGCCCCACACCGACCTGCTTTCTGCCACTACAAGATGCTTTCTGCTTCCTAGGGTTTTATAGAAATGGAATCATGTAACAGGAGCTCTTCTGTATCTGGCTCCTTTCATTTGACAAGATTACTTCGAGTCATCCATATGGTTGCATCATCAGCGGTTCACTCCTCCCACTGCTGAGCAGTGTCCACTGTGCAACAATGGCTTTAGCCATTCATCCTTTGGCGAGGATTTGGCCTCTTCACCATTTGGGGCCGTCACAAATAAAACTGCTATGGACATTCATGTATAAGTTTTTACATGGACATATATTTGCTTTAATGGAGATTCCTGAGGTAAATGTCAAGGAGGATATGGCTGCATAATGTAGTAGAGAAAATGATGGTCAACCCAAGCAAAAGCACGTCTAGGCACACGGTAGTCAAAACTACTGAAAATGAGGATGAAAAGAAACTCCTGAAAGCAGTCTGTGCAAAACAAAGCATTACATGTAAAAGAGGATTAACAAGAATTTTCACTAGAAACAGTGGAGGCCAGAAGACAGTGAAATAACAACTCTAAAGTGAATAAAAACAAATACCTTTCATCCCAATACACTGTATTCAGAGAAAACATCCTTCAA